CTGAGGCACAGGCTGGGCTGGCTCTGGGTGCCCCTCCCGTAAGAACCCTCTCTCTGCGCTGAGCCTGGCATCATCTCACCCCAGCCAGGCCCATCACCTCTGCTCTAGTCTGTTTATTGTTTCCCTTTCCTAGATATACACCACTATTGCTGACTATCATTTGGGAGGTTGTTTGTCCTTTCTTGGAGAGGACCGGGGACATCACAAGGGCGATGTCTGGACTTGCAGGTGACTTGGATGTAAGTGAGGAGGGCCCTGCAAAGTCACCGGCCTCACTCTCTCCTCTGGAGCCATCTGGGTCTGGTGGCCAGACACAGACCAGGATGACTGGAGAAGGCCTGGATTCCATTGGGTGGGAGGGAGCTAAGCTAGAGAGAGTCACCAACTTAGACTCCTCCGGAGAAGTATCAGGGAAAATAGCGCTTTCCCAGAACCCTCCTGTGGCCCTCGAGTAGCCTGACGCCCTTCCTGGAGATAGGAGAGGGAAGGAGCTAGCCCCAGCCCTGGCAACCCTGGGGCCTGGCTGACCCTCGCCACAGGGGCCTCGTCCTACTCTTAGCAGAGGTGGGGTGGGCCAGATCCTGGATCACGCATCCATGAAGGACAGAAACTTTTATTTAGAGTATAGGGAACCCGCAGCTATTTTATACTTATGTCCTAATTATTGGGATTAATGCCCTCCCCTCCTATTGGCTTGTAAAGTCCTATGCTAGAGCAGCCACCGAGCCCAATGTCCAGCATGGAGTAGGCGCTCAATCAATGTTTGTGGAAAGACAGAATATAGGCACCTGTGAATTTGTCAGACATTCATTGATTTGGAACTGAAAGGGGCCTCAGATGTCACCCAGGCCACCCTCCTCATGTCACAGTGGAGACTGAAGCCCTTCGAGGTGAAATGACTAAGCCAAGGTCACACAGCTTGTAAGTGTCTCAGGTGGGATTTGAACCCAAGTCTTCCTGACTCCAAGTGCAGCACTTTCCCCACCAAACCGTACTACCTCTGAAATGTTTATTAATTCATAGGACCAAAGGCCATTCTAAGTTTTTACCCATTTCATGAGCTAGCATGAGGTGGCATGCCTCAGCTCACCATTGGCTGCTGACCAGCCTTCTGGAGCAGAACTCTTGGCCTATAGCATCTTGGTCATGGGCCTCTCTGCACTGAAAGAGGCTGGCCCTTGGGCCCCTGTCATCTAATCTAGTCATTCACAGAGTGTGTCCTGCTGAAAACCTCAAGGCTCTTCTGTGCCATCTTCTGACTGACCCAATGCCAGATAAACAAGCCTTGTGCAAATGTGGATAAACATCTGTATGCACACACAAATGTGCATGTGTAAAATGCCGCGTTTAAAGAATTTAGCTCTGAATCCACACTGAAATGTCCCAAGCCCTCTCCTTTGTGGTGACCAGCCAGATCATGTGCTGGCACTGTCCAGGAGATCCCAAGAAGCCCTCCGGGCTGAGGCCTGGCACATGACAGCAGAGCTGCGGCATCTGTTTAGAGACCCAGCAGACTGAACAAATTGGAAGGCTGGCTCAGCCAACTCTGAGGTCATCTATTCAGTTACAAATGGATTCTTTGCTTTGCAAAATGATTCCCTGTGGGGAACCCTGAGCCACAAGTGTCTCTGGTTCATTTAAAAGAGGAGTCAGTCTTTGAATTTGCTTTTCTGGAACATTCTCACTGCATAACCAGAGGCACACCTGCAGCTGGTGAAGGGAATGGCACCTGGCAGGGGAAAGCCTCACTCTCTGGTTTGTTGTTATTGTTGTAGAGCTGGGGGCAAGTCTGCGTAAGAGACACCAATCAATCAGACTTAGGCAAGGGACAGATCATGACAAGCCACCGATGAGAAATGAGAGGTAGGGGAAGGAGGACAAAAAGAGATGGGGCCTGCTCTGTGTGTGCGTGTGTGTGAGATGTATGTACATGTATTATGTGTATGTAGTGCATTGTGTGCATGTGTGAGTGTGCCTGAGTGTGGTGTGTGTGTATGTCATGCATTGTGTATATGTGAGTGTGCATGTGTGTGTGTGTGTGTGGTGTGCATGAATTGTGTGAGTATGTATGTGTGTAAGTGTGTGTATGTGTGTGGTGTGTGTGGGTTGGTGTGTGTATGTGTGAGTGTGAGTGGTATGTGTGAGTGTGTGTGAGTGTATGGGGTATGTGTGGAGTGGTATTATGTGTGTGAGTGTATGGGGTGTGTGTGGGGTATATGTGGGGTGGTGTGTGTGTGAGTGTGTGGGGTGATTTGTGTGTGTGTGTGTGAGTGTGTGGTGTGTGTGGAGTGGTATTATGTGTGTGAGTGTATGGGGTGTGTGTGGGGTATATGTGGGGTGGTGTGTGTGTGTGTGGGGTGATTTGTGTGTGTGTGAGTGTGTGTATGTGTGTGAGTGTGTGGTATGTGTGTGGAGTGGTGTTATGTGGGTGAGTGTGTGGTTTGTGGGGGTGTGTATGTGGGGTGGGGTGTGTGTGTGTGTGTGTGTGTGTGTGGCACTGTAAAGCTGCTGCAAAATGTTTCATGGAGAAGGGTTTACTATAGCTGTGTGACCATGGGCACAGCACATTGAGCCTCAGTTTTCCTCTATAAAATGGAGATGCTGCTGCTGACAACAGCTCCATATCTACCCTGCAAGTTTATTAGAAGTGCTTTGGAAGCCTTGATGTGGTAGTTCTTGGTTTTACTGATAATCTTGAGCTGGAGTTGCAGATAGCCCTGCGAGGCAGAACTGTGCCCACCACCCCGTTCACTCTGTTCCTACCAAGCAGGGCGCCAGCCACACTCCTGCTTATTGAAGATGCCTTGGGCTGAGCCTGCATGGGCTCAAGAGACCTGGACCTTTCCCTAGACCCTGTCACTAACTTGGGGCTTTGGCCAGAATGGTCCTTTTCACCTGGGGCATCCTGTGCTCTGTCTTGCTAAGTGGTTCCTCCTAATCACGATGTTGAAGTGATTGAGCAAAGCCCCCAGACTGGCTTCTGCCTTTGGCTCCCCCTGGTCTCTGTTGGATGGGGACCACGGCACGTCCTGAGATGCCCAGGGACTCAGGAGGCAAGCTGTGGCAAGTGTTGTGACTTCTTCACACAAGACCTCACGTAAAAACAAGGTGACCTCTCTAAATGGCTTCAGAGCAGAGGGTGCGGGTTAGTGCCATGATGAGAACTTAGGGATTCCACAGGTTTCACAGATTATGAGACCGAGGCCCATAGAGGAAAGGAAGAAGCATGCCCCGTGTGCAGACAATGCCGCAAACAGCAGGGATTTGGATCCAGCTCTCCGGCCTCCTGGGCCAAGCCCCTTGCAGGGGTCTTCAACAATATGCTTTACAATGGTGTGTCCATAGGTGTTACTGATAGGAGCAGGGCATAACAGCGGAAGGAAGGCTGTTACAATAGCCTAAGTAGAACAACAAGGACAAATGTCACATTGTAACTAAGTGTCAGCCTGTGATGAGGAGTATGGCAATGTAGGGAGTACAGGAAAGAGGAGGAGAACAGGGGGGTCCTGATGTAAGGAGGAATGCAAGCACTCCGCCAGCCGCTCACAGACAATGCTGCTGTTTTGCTTAGGTTTGGAGGGTGTCCGTTGCAGAAGTAGTTTCAAGTTCTAACCTTGGTCACCTGAACACATGGTACCCAAACTTTCATCAACGCTGTGGGACCCCATCCTCTCCCAGCCTAGAACTGCCCTGATATTGGCACACTGAATGAGGGATGAACCTCTCCCTGCTCCATGGAAAATGGGCATTCAGACCCACAGACAGAGATCTGCTGGGGCCAGACTACCTGGCTCACCCTTCTCACTGTCTCTCTCACACTCCCAACCCACCTGCCCAGCCCACTACCACACGGATCTTGTAAGGAATCGTCTGCACACTCCCTGGTGCTCTCAGCACACGCGTAGAGATAGCAGAACCCTGGGGGGCAATTCCTGTTCCAAATCACCAGTGTTCTTTCGTGTTTTTAAACAAAATAACTGGAAAGCCATTGGCACTGGATTGCATATGTTGAGCTGGGTGGAAGGCGTGTCGGGGCAAGAATCAAGCACCAAACTGGGGTCGACCCAGGTGAACCCAGAGCTTTCGATGGATCTGCCTGTGCCCCACCCAACATTTGGGGGAGTGGGGCTTATCTCTGGCCCTTGAGATCAGTGGCGGGGGAGATCCGGGGAGAGCCCGACTAGATCTTGATGTCCCCACCCCCGCCCCAACCGGTCCCCAGGAAATGGGGCCAGGCTGCCCAGAGCTCTTCCCACTCCCTGGCTGGGGTGGGGATGGGGGTGTAGCGGGAGGAAAAGCAAGGAAGGGAGAGGGAGGGAAGGGATAGCGCAAGAGAAGACGAGAGAAAAAGATAAGATAGCAAAGGAAGGGATAGAAGATGAGAGAAAAGGAGGGAAGAAGAAAGGAGGGGAGAGGAGAAAAGGGAGAGGTGAAGAGAAGAGAAGGAAGGGAAGGAGCAGAGGGAGACGGCGAAGTGAGGTGAAAGGGAGGTAGGGAGAGAAAGGAGAGAGGAGAGAGAGAGAGAGAGAGGGAGAGAGAGAGAGAGACAGAGAGACAGAGAGACAGAGAGAGAGCCAGAGAGCCAGAGAGAGAGAGACAGAGAGAGAGAGACAGAGAGACAGACATATATATATATATATATATATATATATATA